TGTGCATAGGACTTGCAAACAATTCATCAAAGAGGATATTGACATGGTCAATAGGCATATGAAAAGACACACAACATCCTTAGCTATTAGGGATGCAAATCAAAAGCACAATGAGACTTACCACCTCATCCTCATTGGAATGGCAATGATCAAAAAACTTGAAGACAGGTGTTCGCGAGATTGTGGAGAAACTGGAACCTTCATCCACTGCTGGTAGGAGTGTAATATGGTGCAGCCACTGTGGAGAATAGTGTGGTGGTTTCTCAAAAAGTTGAACACAGAATTACCACATGACCCAGCAAGCCAGGTACACGCTCAGAGGACATGAAACCAAGAATATAAGCAGAAACTTATTCATCAATGTTCATTGTAGCACTTTTCACAACAGCCAAAAGGTGGAAACGATTGAAATGTCCATCAAGAGATGGGTGGAAAAACAAAAGGTGGTACACGCACCTAGAGGAATATTACTCAGCCAGAAAGAGAAATGAAGTCCTGATGCATTGCCACAACGTGGGTAAACCTGGAAAACATCACGCTGGGTGACACACACCAGTCACAGAAGGACAGATATTGTATGGTCTCACGTATGTGAAACAAGCAAATATGTGATAACCCAAAGATTATTAGCAGTGCCCAATTGTCCAGTAAGCAAGGTAAGCTTGGGCTTACTTGGGCTCAGTTAGTAACCTGTAGTGAACAATTTCACACTTTTTCACCACACCAAAGATTCTACTTCTAGGTATGGCTGGTGTCTGGCTCTCTCCCAACCCCACAGCACCTTTCTACAGAATTAAAGCCTCTTTTCAAATTTTCAATCCCTGATAATACCTTGTTTATTGGGAAACCCACCCCTGATTATTAGTGGTTACCAGAAAGGGGAAGTCCCTTAGTGGTGCAGAAGGTTAAGTGCTCAATTACAAGCCGAAAGTTGGTGGTTGGAACCCACTCGAGACGCCTTAGGTAACAGGCCCTGTGGTGTGCTTCCAAAAGGTCACGGCCTTACAGTCCCTGTGGAGTTCTCTGCACGCATGGAGTCACCAGGAGTCAGAATTGACTTGACCAACATTTTTGTTTTGACTTTTCGACCAGGAGTGGGAAGGAGGGATGAAAGGGGAGCTTTTGGTTTAGGAGACACCCTGTGTTTGTGTTAATGGTGGTGGGATGATCTGGAAAAGAGTAGCAACACTAATTACACAACACGAAGAATGAAATCAGTGTCATGGAATTTAAATGTGGCAATTATTGCATTGGTCAAGATTTTATTGTGCATCTCTTTACCACAGTTAAAAAAAGAAAAGCAGAAGGAACCTAACTTCCAGTGAACTGCCCTTGTAACGAAACAAAACAAAACAGAAAAATCACTGCTGTTGAGTCGGATCCGACTCATAGCAACCCCTCCTTGGGTTTCCGAGGCAGTATCACTATGGAAGTAGATTGCCCCATCTTCCTTCCGAGGAGTGTCTGGTGGGTTTGAACCGCCAGCCTTCTGGTTAGCAGTCAAGTGCCTTAGCCACTATGCTATCACATAGGTAGGATAAAATCCTGGGTGTGGAATGACACGGTCAAAAGGTCTATGTGTTTAGCATTTTAAGTGAAAATACCAGACCATCATCATCCAAAAGGCTGCCCCTGTGTACAGCCCCACAGTGTGATGGAATGGCGCCTCTCCCCACCCTCAGTGGCAGAAGTCTTAACCGCTCCCTGTACATCCCTTTCCACCTGCCCCATCGATCCATCTGCGGTCCTCAGTTGCAGCTGCACCAGACGATACGACGAAGATCACCCTAACGAGAACAACAACAAACTAAACCCTCTGCTGTCAAGTTGTTTCCAAATCGTGGCCACCTCATGGCTATAACATTAAAAGATAATCTCTGGCTTTAAAGAATTAGGGAGAAACATCACAGACACATACACACACATCAAGAACACTGTGTGTTTAAGTCCAATCCTGATTTACAAGCCGCATGACCTTGAACTCCAACCCCAATCATCATTCAAGCACCCACTCTCCGGCAAGGACTTCTGCAGGCTCCTCCCCAGCAGGTGTCCCCTGGGTGCTGTTTAGCACTCCTCTTCATTTGCTTTGTATTAGAGTTACACTTATTTTACTGTTGTTGTTTGTTGTTATGTGCCGTCGAGTCGGATC